GAAAATATAGTGTAAAAGACTTCAAGGTTATAAAAATAGTAAAGGTACTAAATATATGAAAAAGCTGATCTTATTCTGAATATAAAAAAGGACACTGCTCCACCAGGGCTCCAGGAAAGGACATAACTTAGCCGACGAAGAGCAAACGTCTTCTAGTGATTGCTGTTTTCATACAGTGCTAAAACTTTACTGTAAAGACTATCAGCGAATATCACAGTAGGACAATTTACGAAGACATGACAGTAATCCCCAAATAATACTTATAATTGAGATGAAAAAAGAAAAAAACAAGACAATGCTAACACATCCGCGACGGATCTTTCTTTCATTTCCCGAAAAACATTAGAAATTCTGTAGCAAGTGATTCCCAGCAGCACTGATTAAGAAGACAAAGAAAAAACACAACGTAAACATAACTTTTAACTCTTCTGGTCACAAAGTCCGGCTGAAATATTTGCAATCTCCCTATTTCACTATCTCAGCTTTTAATTATTTGTATTATTTGAATTTCTCTGTAAAGTGAATGGTGTTGATGGTATCTAAGATTTTAATTCCTATATTTTGAAATGGCAAATGGGCCGATTGCTTCAGGAAAGAGGTCATCAGAAGATTAAATATGAACTTCTAGCTTACTTTATAAGAGTGTTCATGAATATTTATTTTGAATGTTCTTATCTTGAAAATGAAAATAGATAAACACTGTTTAGATGATAAATGTAAGATGTGAAATTAAGTTTTTAATCTTACAGCTATGAGCACCACGAAAGATAATAATATTATATTAGTCTTCATGTTGAATAATATCTTGCAAAAGCACCTTTGTACCTAAGTCATTTAATGTAGAAAGCACATAGAGAGATTATTGAAATAAGTTCTTCACTGTGTCTGTAAAGCTCCAAAGAAATGTTTGCAGAAATATGGCTAAATGCTTGACATTTTCATCATGCTCCTGAATTACATATTAAAGAACCAGTTGCCGTTGAGTGGATTCCAACTCATGGAGACCACAGTCTGTCGGAGGACAACTGTGCTCCATAGGATTTTCACTAGCTGATTTTTCTGGAGTAGATCATCAGGCCTTTCTTCCAAGGCATTTCTGGATGGACTTGGATCTCCAACGTTTTGGTTAGCAGCGAGCACATTAACCATTTGTCCCATCCAGGGATAGATTACGGATTAGAATTCTTATTTCATTAAAAATTTTGAAGAATTGCATACGTGAATGTTTGCATATATATACATATATACATATATACATATGCACACACATAGTTTTTCAATTATTAAAGAAGCACATGTTTACTATATATTCTATATACTGTATATAACAAACGCAAGCTATACAAGGAGCCCTGGTGCGCAATGATTAAGCGTTTAGCTGATAACTGAAAGGTCAGCAGTTCCAACATGCGTGCCACTCAGCAGAAGGAAGATGTGGCAGTCTGCTTCCACAAAGCTTTACAACCTTGGAAACCCTATAGGGCACTTCTACTCTGTCCTACAGGATCGCTATGAATTGGAATCCACTGGACGGCAATGCGTTTAACTCTAGACATTAATTCTTGAAGTTCTTGTTGTTTCGCAAGGCTATTTTGCTAGGAGGAGTAAAGAAAAATTTTACTGAAGTCTTACGTCCATGCTGAGTGGAGTGCTTTTAAAAACAAATACGCTTTTCTCAATCCATTTAAGTAATAAAGACAGACATTAAATGGAAACTCTTCCATTAGCAATTGTACATGTATTAGAATTAAAAGTCTATCATTTCAGTATTGAAATGAAATGGAAAAAGAAAACAGTAATGTTTCTTTCATAATGACTATTGGATAAGCTAGTAAAACACAATTCATTCTTGTTGCTATTGTGGTGAAGAATTTTTACTTCATTTGAATGGAGTATGATTACGCCATTTGAATATAATCCCCATATTAGTTGAGACCCTTTGTGTCCTGGAAATTTGATTACACTTAGTTCAAACTGTAACTCTATTTGACTGTAATATTCCAAGATCAGCCCTCTTTTTCCTCTGGATTCTTACAATCTTCTTTCTCAAGTTTTCATTGGACACTTGAATCTGTTTTCTTATCTATGTGTGTATTTCTCTAATAACCTAAAGGGAAAAAAATCCCTTTTCTAGCTTCTAAACCTCAAAAACTATAATTTATACATACTTCTGATAATTTGGGACATAACGGTGAAGAGTCACACTGCATCACAAGAGGTTCTCTAAAATCCCCCTCTATCCTCCGTCAGTCAGTCTCTTCTCCCCGCTTACTTTATAGTGGCAAATCATAGTCAACAAGTCAGACTTACGATCTTTTGCAATCCACCACGTTTAAATACCAACAGATAAACAAGTAATGCCAGGTATTGAAAAAAAAAAGACAGACATCAAACTAATCAAATGGATAAGAACAGACATATGAAGTAAACAGATATGAAGAAAGGAGAAAACTTTTAAAATCATTAATATGATCAGAAATATAAGAAAAGAATAGATACTGCCACAATTAACAAAAACAAGACATTATACATAGGAACATTCAGAGAACAAACAAGAACTTTTGGAATTTAAAAAGATGGTAATAGAAACAAAGCTTTAAAAAGAGGATTTGGAACATGAGGTTAAGAAAAGTTCTTAGAGACTAGAACATAAAGGATATGAAAGATGGAAAATAGAAAGGAAAAGAGACACTAGAAGTTTCAACAGCTAAATAATAATTTCAGATAAATTGGACAGAGAAACCTGGAAGAGAAAGTAACCAAAAGAATAACTGTTAAAATTCCAAGAAATGAAGGACATGGGTTTCACTTGAAAAGACCCCAACCAGTCATATCGAGGCCTGATAATGTAAAATTATCAAACAAGGATTAATGTAAAAGAAGCATTTGCGGACATGGAACGCCTCAAAAATTCATTTCTCAGGCATCGTCTTTCAGATAACAATAGGATGTTTATAAGAAATGAAGGAATAAAGTAAGAAAGGAAAATATGGAATAGAGAAAACAAGAAAGAGGAAAGAGAACCCTAAGCACGAAGGGGAAGTGAGATTTCAAGATGAGACTTATGTATCAAGCATAGAAGTCCAACAGGTCCAAAGACACCCAGATAAAATTCCTCAGGAAAATGAAATTCATAGAATATGATATGTTGTATCTGAATGTCTCGAGAGGAGAAATAAAACACACACACAAACGCACATGGTGTGAGGTGCATGATATTCCCAGCAAAAAAATAAGTTAGAATGGACCATTAAACTGTGTTAAAGGAGGAGAAACAGAAGTTTTATTCAAAGTGTAAAAGTCTTTCAAAAGGATGTGGTGGAGGGACTTTACAGAGAGAATAAGAAATGAGTGTAAAAAAGAAGAAAGCTCAGCTAAATATTAAAGAGGGTATCAGTAAACATTAGGGAGGCAGAGAGTGAATATCTGCGAGAACAGAAGATATTGGTCCCGAGGGCATTCTTGATACCAACCCATGAGCATGCTTCCCCAAAACTCAGGTTATGAATAGATGATTTGATGTAGTTTTCCCCACCCCGTTCTGTGAATTCTTTTATAGAGAAATTTTTGAACTGATATGCATTTTGGTTATATAGCTACCAAATTAGTTTTCTTGAAAAGAATACACATACAAAGTAAGCTTCTTCGGAAAGGGAGACAAAAGACATTTGAGGACAGTGTTTTGCATACATAGACTTGGATTCCTAAAAGAGTTCTTTGAAGCCCCAAGGTGGATATGGAGTGATTTTATGGGGTACCCAGCCTTAACAAACCTCCAGCAAACCTCTACCCTAGTTGGGTGGCCCAATTCTGCGTTCTATTCACAGCTGCCCAGGCGTGGTGAGGTGGCGAGGGTCAGAGTAATTGGTGAAAGACGGAACAAGGGTGATGGCCTGTCCATCAACAGCCAGATTGTTGCAAAAGCCCTTCCTGATGTGGTCGCTTTGACTTGGTTAACCATATATTATTTATGACTAAACATTTACGGGAAATAAAAGCAAAAGGAACATGATTTATTTTCTTAAAAAAAAAAAAAAAAAGCTTCTGTATAAAAAGATTGTCACATGCTTTCCAGAATGTTAAGCATCCTTCCTTACATAGAGACGTTTGTAAAGCTTCATACTCATAACATCTGTCTGATGTATTTTTTAATTGTGGTAAATATACATGTAACAAAACACTTGTCATTTCAACTTTCTACACATGGACAATTTAGTGACATTAATTATGTTTCGTGTTGTTCAGTCATCACTATTATCTGTTTCCAAATTTTTCCATCGTCCTTAACAGAAGTTCAGTGTCCCCTAAGCAACGAATCCTTCTTTCTCCGTTCCTACTGCTCACCCTGGTAACCGCTAATAAACTTTGGTTTCCTCAGATATTTTTCCTTTTGTGACTAACTGATTTCACTCAGCCTAGCATTGTCAAGGTTCACCCACGTCACAGCATGTATCAGGACTTCACTCAGCTTTATGGCCGAGATGATTGATTTTCAATGAGAAAGTAGACTAGTTTGTTCTGGGATTGCTTTCCCCATCTGTGTTTTCTAGCTCTTGCTTCTGCAGAACTAAGTAGGGTTCACAGACCCTAGACCTTCCAAAAGAGTTAAGGCTGAAAATCCTGTCAAGTTGATCTATTTCTGACATCATTTTCCCCGTCAGCCCCTTTTTTGGCTTCTGACCTTGGAGAGGTTTGAATGTCCTGACAGATGAATGAAGCAATTTCAGGATTTTTTCAGTCTAGATTTTTGATCAACTCACAAAAAGAGACAGAACGTCTTTCTGGAAGAGTGTTACCACGAAATGCATGTTAGACAAAATCTTACAGAAAAGGACATCCAAACAAAATCCCGCTGCCAGCAAGCTGATTCCGACTCATAGCAACCCTACAGGACAGAGAATAACTGCCCCCGAGGGTTTCCAAGGAGAGGCTGATGGATTTGAACTGCCAACCTTTTGGTCAGCAGCCGACCTCTTTAACAACTGCGCCACCAGGGCTCCCAAAATATGGAACACTTCATGAATTTGCGTGTCAGCCTTGTGCAGGGCCATGCTAATCTCCTCTGTATCATTCCAATTTTGGTATATGTGCCACCAACGTGAGCACAGAAAAGGACATAACCACGGCCGTCAAGCCAAGTATGTGTGAAAAGGACGAAGGATGCAGAAATAGGACACACAAAAAAAACTTCTTTCTTTGCATTTCACCAAGGACCAATCCTGCACGCTAGTACTAATAATATAAAGCTAAAACACTGGTCATCTTAATGTAGGATTGTACCACTTTGTATGTAAACATGCTCATTCGTACATGCCACCTGGAGGGGTGGAGCTAAAGTAAAAACAAAAGAAATACTGGAGGATTAAACGCAATAGAATAACCAAATATGTTTGCAATGAAACACAACAGTCATTCAGTCGTTTGCCCCCTCTTCTAACCTTCTAGGTATGTAAAAGCCCTGAATTCTAATTTTAAATGGATCAATACAGCTTTACCGTAAGAAGGTTCATCATTTTTCTTATTTATCTTGTTAGAAAATAGGCATGCTAATCCTCACTCATTCCCTTAAATTTGTTTGGAATTAGATGGTTTTAAAAAAATCAACTAATTCCTATGGAGCTTACCCAGAATGAATAAACTCATTTGGTTGTTTATTCCAAATTATTAACTATCACATTTTTAGGAAAATAATGTTGCTGTAAAAAAAATTAGCACAGCGTGATTATCAAAATACCCTGCGGAGGGGAGGGCCTGGCTGGCAAGCATAGAAAGTGCACATTATTTGCAATAAAAACATGGTGCTCTATAACAGATACCACCAGCCTCTAGAAAGAAGCAGGTGAACAGATATGACTCTTCACTCACAGGAGAGATCATAACCAAGAGAGGTGTTTGTTTCGTGGCGGAGGATATGTATCATACATGAATTGTGGTAGCACTGGAAGAGTCTTCTCTTCTTGATAACAAAGTTAGCAGAGAGGTAGTGCAGGGCGATAAGAGAGGGTGAGCTTTATATGCAGACAAAACTGTATTTGACGCCAGGCTCTGCCACTTACCTGCTGTCAACCTGAGAAAAGTATTTCTAAATTCTAAAAACATAATATTATGGATTCATTGTGTCCCCCCAAAAGATGTTTCAGTCCTAATCACCAATACCTGTGAATGTGACCTTGGCTTAGAATTAAGGTCTTTGAAGATGCTGTCAGTTAACATGTTGTCAGTCACATTGCAGTAGGATGTGTCCTAATGCCGTTTGAGTGATGTCCTTGCAAAAAAAAGGAGATAAGACGCAGAGAGACAGGCAGAGGGAAAAATCTGTGCGAAGATGCGTTGACACGCTTAGGGACACTTGGGGCTACTGGAAGTGGAGAGAGACAAAAAAGGATCTTTCCCTAAAGTGTCACAGAAAACACAGTCTTGCTGACATCCTGAATTTGGACTAACCCCAGAATGGTAAGACAATAACTCTCTGTTCTTACAAGTCACCCAGTTCCTGGTGTTTTGTTACGTAAGCCCTAAGGAAATAACATATATAAGGATAATACCCACCATACAGAATTGGAATGATTATTTGAGAAAACTTATGTAAAATTTGGGATATGGATTTAGTCTCAATAGAAAGGAATACAGAGAAGGAACAGAAATACAGGATTTTACTCCCTAATATCAGTATTTCTGCTGCTGGTCATCAAGTGCAACAAACTTTTTGCCCCATCAATTTTTTGTACACAGTGACCCTTGAGGCAAATGGTAAATTGCTTATATTTAAATCTTTTATATAAAAAGATGTTGCCATTGTCTTATATATAGAGCATATACTAAATTTTTAAGCTATTGTCATTATTATAGAACCAGAAATACGAACTTTAAAGTTAGTAAGATATCTGGCTTAACATTCTCATTGTATAGATGTTTAAAAGTGATCAAGCTGTTTCATAATAGAAAAAGAAATCCAAGTCTCTTGATTCTTTTATTGACCTTGCGTCCTTTTTTGCTAATAGAAACCATCGTATCAGGGGTGGAATAGAATTTAGCTACATGAAAAGGAATACACACAGTTACATTGTCTATATGGGGACCATTTGTGATACGGGCCTAATCAATTTTATATTCTAAATAATTATTTTAGCTGATGAGTTATTTCCATTATATACTTTGATTAAAATTCCCAAAACAGCTAAAATGGAATACGGTTTCTATTTCATTTTTTATGACAAATGTCAACATTTTATTAAGCAGATACCAGATGAACTACATTGCTTTGTGTTGACGCATGAAACAAAATATAAAAGCTTGTCTTGGTTGTCATACTCTGTCCGGCTGAGTTGTTACGATCATGAAGTCGCACCTTGCTTGATGAGAGTATTTGACTAAGAGGAAAGAGCAGGCACGTTTCCATCAAACATTAGTTTCTTATTGCTGCTCTAACAAATTACTACAAACTGTGTTGCTTAAAATAACAGAAATTTATTATTTTACAGTTCTGGATATCAGAAGTCCTAAAATCAAGGTGTTGTCAAGTATGTAATACTTCTGGAGGCTCTGGGGAAGAATCTATTTCCTTGCATTTTCCAGCTTCTTGAGGCCACCTGTGTTCTTTGGATCATGGCCCCTTCGTCCCTCTTCAAAGCCAACAGGCTAGCATCTTCACGTCAGTCCTCTCCCCTCTCATCTCTGCTTCTATTGTCATATCTCCTTGTCTGACTCTGACCCCCCGTCTCCCTCTTGTAAGGACTCTTTTGTTTACATATGGCCCACCCAGATAATCCAGAATAATCTCCCCATCTCAAGATCATTAATGTCATCACACCTGCAAAATTCCTTTTTGCCCTATTGAGGTAACATATTCACAAGTACTGGAGATTAGCATGTAGACATCTTGTTGGGGGTACTTTCTGTCTACCACTGCAGGAGACAGAAGGACTGGGCTGTGACTGTGGCCTTCCTGCCATGTCTCCAGAATTCAGGGGCACATATTCACACAGAGCAGTACTGTGACTTCAACAACACTGCAGTCAAAATTTCCAGGTTTACAGAGAATATTGCCAGTTACCATGGCAAATAAATTAATACGTTACTAAAGGCATACTTTCAATATTGCATTATATCAAAGTTAATTTAAAATACTACAGTCTCGTTTGGTTCTTAATAAACCTTATTTAATGTCATGAACATTCTACCAGACTTTGAAAAAAATGCCATTGCTTAAAATTTCAAATTCCATCTCATTTTAATAGCATTTTAAATGGAAATATTCTATCTATAGACTTCTCTCCTATGAACTTTTGTTCTACCTGTCCTGTGAATATCTAATAATAAAGAAAATAAAAAGAACTTTCAGTATCACCAGACAAGAAACAGTATGTGTACCATCAGTTAACGATGGGCATATTTTTTTTGGAAAACAATAAGGAATTTATTTTGGGACTGAGTATGAAGAAAATGGCAGCAAATTAGGCTAAAAGTGTAAATTAAAGTCGATTATGACGAACTTTTAAACACCAGGCACACTAGAGGAGGTAAGCGATTAAGGAAACACTTGCATCCTCAACAGTGGAATCCACAGGTCCTTCCTTCAACTAGGTTTCACACTCTGGTATATAGGTTGCTCACACTCTCAGGAAAGAGATGAGGAGATTAATCATTGGAGAATTTGATAAATTGCCCTAGAAAAAATTCTCCACACCCACACAGGAAAAACATATTGACCCCTGGTGAGTCCACAATAAATGGATCATTCAAGAAGACGATTACACACATGTCCTTCCTAAGCCTTTCAGTGCTTCACTCTTAAATGCAAACTGACTGCCAGGAAGAACCCAACATTTGTTCAAAAACACCTAATTGAACGAGTGTGAATAAAAATGAAAACAACCAAAACAATAAAAAAAAACAGAAAAGCAAAACTGAGGAAAATACAGACAATTCAGGGAACAGAAAATATTTCTTTCCCTGAGGAAGAAGAAATTCTGCCTCAAAACTGTAGCATCAGCTCCTGCCCAAGCATTTGCAGCCTGCTGGTTTGACCTACAGATTTCAGATTTGCCAGCCCCCCCATTCATGTAAGTCAAATCCTTGAAATTGTGTATATATGTGTGTATATATATATATATGTATGTATAGGTATGTGCCAATGTATGCAGCGCTGGTGGCACAGTGTTTAAGAGCTACAGCTGCTAACCAAAAGGTCGTAAGTTCGAATCCACCACATTGGAAACCCTACAGGGCAGTTCTACTGTGTCCTATAGAGTCACTATGTGTTGGAACTCGTTCAATGGCAATGGGTTTTGTTTTGGTATGTATATGTACATGTATACCTACATCTACCTCTACATGTACACCTACACCTACACCTACACCCACACCTACATCTAATACCTACATCTACTTGTACACCTACACCTACAACCACCACACCCACACCTACATCTAACACCTACATCTACATGTATACCTACACCTACACCCATACCCACCCACAACTACATCTAACACCTACATGTACACCTACACCCACACCCACACCTACATCTAACACCTACATCTATGCCTGCACCCACACCCACACCAACACCCACACCCACATCTAACACCTACATGTACACCTACACCCACACCCACATCTAACACCTACATCTACATGTACACCTACACCCACACCTACAGCTATATCTCTCCTATTGGTTCTATTTCTCTGGAGAAACCAGACTGATACAAGATATAAATACCAGGATATACCTTTGAAAGAGGTAAAAAGTGGTGAATACTGTGATATGAGTTCAAAAAGTTGTTTTACAAATAAATATTATCCTTCTTTATAAACTTATTTATTTGACGCTTTTTGCATACAGGTGTATGATAAAACTTTTTAAAAAGAACATATATATGTTATTGCAAATAATCTACTGTAAAATACATAAAATTAATATAAAACAAATTTAAATGTTTTTAATTCAGTGGATGAATATTAAATACATACAGTGTGTTACAGAAGCTAATTAAACTTTCTCTGTTCTTTTAAGCCTCTCATACTGAAATGATAATCTAAATACAATGGAACAGGGTTTAATAACTCCTCTGACCTACAAAATCTAAGGCTGTAAAAA